AATTAACTTTCTTCAAAACTAAAGAAATACTCACACAAATATTTTAAATGAATACAGGGATTTGATTAATAGGATGAGGAATCCAATCATGCATGAGCCTCAAGGAAAGAATAAAGTGCCCGAAGCCATTAGGCCGAGGGCACGTCTGCTTGGGTGTCACGCATTGCGTAAAAAAAAAGAGAAGAAGGCCAGAAGATGAAATTGGACTAGCGTTTTGAGGAATGGAGAGTTCCACCGTGATTTGTTTAGAAGATACTAGAAGCAGCAAAAGTAAAAAATCCTCTCCGCAAGCCTATAAGCCTCAATGTAATTTGAATTGTAATCACATTATGTGGCCTGATAACTCATGCGCTAGCCATAATGCAGCCACCTCTATTTGTTTTGATGCATATATAATATTATGATATAACATCTCCTCTTTTAATCAAAAAAAGAATGAACATCTACATATACATTATTTTTCTTATTTTATTTATCATAAGATATAAGTATGAAAAAAATATATATAAAAAATTCATACCCACTTGTGGAATTCTACTGGCAATGTTGTCGTTATAAATATGAAAAACATATCATCTAGCAATACAATAATTTATTCATTTGTTTACTTCGTAAAATATTGATATCACTTTCGAAAAATTCTGAAAAAGTTAATGAACTCCAAGCAATGAAGAACTGGATCCAACACATCTATAGTTTACTTTGCATCAAGTAGCTTTAGTGCCTAATTCTGATATATAATCCAGAATCGTTTGCTCATCTTAACTAATTTATAAATTTGAAATTTAAATTAACAAAGTTTTAACTAATTATATTCAAAAGTTCATTAAAAGTGAGATGACAAATAAGGCATAACAAATAAGTTGGGAGTGACTCATTGACCATGACAAACTTGTCACTTTCCACAAAAGACGATTCAAGTCAAACTTTGCTACTTTGATGAGAAAAAGAAATTACAAAATACAAATCAACTTCTTAATTATTTTTTATGGTTCTTAATTACTTAGGATATAGTAACCAACTTGGAAACAAATTCTTCAATATTTTTATCTGAACTTCCTCCTTCATCCACAACATTTCTAGCCAATTCTTTCCATTTCTTTGCATGTTCCCTAATTAATTTTCCTCTCTCTTCTTCCATCACTAATTTTATACATTCTTCTATAGCTTCTCTTCTAACTATTCCCTTTTCATCTTGTTTGGCTCTAACACCTATTTCCCAAACATCTTTCACAAGTTTTGCATTTGTTGTTTGATCTGTCCATTGTGGCATTGTCACCATTGGCACTCCCAAACTAATTGCTTCCAGAGTCGAATTCCACCCACAGTGTGTCAGAAAACACCCTGTTGATTCATGTTCCAACACTTGTAATTGTGGACACCATGACACCACTAGTCCTTTTTCAATTGTTAATTCCTCTATAAAGGTCTTGGTAAGTTTGGATTCTTCAGTGGACCTAACAACCCACAAGAAGTTGTTGTTGCTATTCTTCAAACCCCATGCTAATTCTTCCATTTGCTTAGCTTCTAATTTGGCTAAACTTCCAAATGATACATACACCACTGAGCTAATTGGTTGATGATTTAACCAATTTAGGCATTCATTTGTCATTGGCTTGAAGATACTAAGACCATACTCTTTGTCATCATGTAGTCTCTTGTCTAAGTACATTGATGGTATTGTTGGTCCAATTGTCTTTATTGGATATATCTTGGACATCCAATCAATTACCTACATGACAAACAATAAAAACAAAATAAGATGTATCTTGAATCTCTTGATTTTATTTTTTTAAAGAGATGATTTTGTCAGTTCATTTTTTGTATAACTTCGATTAAACATCTATATAAATATGTTACCTCTTTCTCCAACTCATAGAAGCTGTTGATTAGAACCCAATCAACTTTGTCAAGATTTGAGAATTGATTTACCATCATTTCAATTATTCTTTCTGCTTCAGGCCTAAAAACAAAAGAAGGTACATCTGATGCCTCAATTGGACATGAAAATCCAGGAATTATGATTTCTTTATCATTTTGAGTAGGTGGAAATTTTATTACCCCTTTATGTACATGATAATAAATGTTATCCACTGCACAATTTTGTGTGAAAAATGCAGCACTAACTAATCCAAATTTTGTTGCCACTTCAACAGCCCAATTAAGGTATGGATCATATACTATGCAATTTACAGGACATCCACTATTTGCCAATTTTTGTATAAGCTGAGACAGAGTATCCGAGCCAACTTCTTTGAATCGTGTAACATAGGCCACGAAAGATCCTGCTTGATCGCGACCACCATCATCATAGCCATCGGATATGGCCTCGATTGACACAGAAGTTGGCAATTCTTTCATGTTTTTCAACAAGTATTTTGTGGTTGCTATAATGATTTCAACACGTTTGGATTGTAAACGTTTGGAGAATTGGAGCATTGGGTTGATATGACCTTGGACTGGATATGGCAAAATCAAACAGTGAGTTTTGTGACTAGTACTCATCTTTTGCAACTTCTCAATTGATGGTCTAAAAGGAGTTAGATTTCGCAAATGATCTCTTAACTAATACTTAGTAATTATCTCAGACAATTATTTTATTAGTTGAAGGATGAGAAAATCCTATGGTGAAAATGTGGTTCTTATACTATAGTCTATAAGTTATACAATTTTTTATATTAATTTCAGGAAAAAATATATCATAGAAATTAATCAAAATTTATGTAATTTAACTTTCTCGAGAAATGAATTATGATAAGTAATTCAAAATGTGTCTATTAGTACCTATGAATATGGTCCATATTGCCAAATTAAGTTTGTTGTACCAATTATTGGGGTCATTTTCTTTGAAATACAAACAATTTATTGTGTGGTGTTAAATTATCGAAAAATAGTTCTAGCTCGAGATATATTTTGGATGGCTTGAAAAATATTTTCTTTGTAAAATAATTTTTAGTAAAAATTGAGTTTTGTAAAAAAATAATTTGATACGTAAGTAAAAATTATTATTTTGAAAGTGTTTATATATCATTTACACAAATACTATGAGATGTAGTAGGACGACTCTACAAACCTTAAAATAAATAGTAGCCTTAGGCCCGGAGACTTTTTTAAAGCAATAATAAGTTATAGATATTTTTTTAAAAGAAATATTGAGTTTATAGTAAAAAATATAAACTTTTCATATAAGAAAGAGTAAATTATTAAAAGTTAAACAAATCTAGTGTCTAATGTAGTGTGCTCAATGTAGGGGAACGTGTACAAGAAAGACTTTAAGGTTCTCGTTTTGACTTTATATTTAGGAGTAGTATATAATAATTTATCTTTAAAAGGAAAAAAAATATTTACTACAATTTGTATGTGGAGTGATATTCACAAATCACAATATATTGGTATATATATATATTGTGTATATCGTTTACATATCAGTAATCAATGTATATACCATTATTCAACCGTAGTCATACTTGTAATTTCATAACAAATTTCAAGTCAGATACATCAAGATATATGAATTTTTGCTACTAAATACACTCTAAAACACAAATACATAGGGGGGAGGCGAACGAGAGAGGGAGAAAGGCGAGCGAGATAGGAGGGAGGCGAGCGAGAGTGTTAGTGTATCCCAAATACATGTAAATTACACTAAATACATATATCTGGGATACCAAGTGCCACTATATCAAGAATGATCTTCATCGGCAATTAATTAACGGCAATAGCTCAATTGCCGCTAAATATGTATTTTTAGCGGCAATTAGCACTCTTTGTATATGTCCCTAAAGCCTTTAGTGACATTAGATCTAATGACACTTAACTAATGTCAGTAAAGACTTTAGCACTCTTTATTAATATGTCTATTTATTGCCGCTAAAAATTATTTTTGTTGTAGTGTGCATTTGTGATACATTCTGAAATACAAATATATATAAGGAGGAAGCAAGTGAGAGAGGGAGAGAAGCAAGCAAGATTGGAGATAGATGAGTGAGAGAGTCAGTGTATCACACACACATATGAATTCACTCATATTTAATGGAAGATGGCCTAAAATACCCTTCAACTATGTGAATTAGTACAAAATTACCCTTTTTCTACTTTTCGTGCCTAAAATGCCCTTGACGTCAACCTTTTGGTTATATTTTCCCCTCATTTTTAACAACCTAAATGATAACCTCAATTAACAAATTCATTAATAACGTGTCACTATACTATTGGCTACCCTAACTATTAATTAAACTAATTAAAAAAAAACAATATACCCACCCGTAAACTTACCCCCAAATATTCTAACCCAACCTTCATCTGCAAACCTTTTAACCTAAAAAACGCATACGCTCCAAATCCAAATGTCCTCTCTACTTGTTCTATCAAAGCTCACAATTGTTTTATGGTACCAAACTGAACCTGTTGGACTTGTGTTGAGCAGACATATTCCAGCAGTCAGTAGTTGATATTACTGTTGAATAGATAAGCCAGGGACGCAATGGCCATGAACAGATTAGAATAATGTGAGCTTTGATATCGGAGATTTGGATTTGGAGCGTATGGTACAGAGGAGTAATGGTAGGTAAAAGAAGTTTATTTAGATACTTTGAAGAACCCCAAATTGAATTACAGCTACTTTCCACCAATTATGGCTGTAAAATCTGTTGAGGTTTCTCAACAATAGGTTAAAAGGTTTGGGGATGAAGTTGGGTTAGAATATTTGGGTAGGTTTACGAGGTGGGTATATGATTTTTTAATTAATTTGCTAATTAAAGATGAGGGTATTTTAGGTCCTTTTCCGTATATTTAATGTATCTGAAATAAATTATATCTAATTTTGACTGCATCTATTCGAGATACATATATATATATATATATATTTGGATGTGCCAGATACATGTATTTGAGAATTGAAATTTGACACGAACAGTAATTTTGTAAATTCACGGGAAAATACATAATTAAGCCCTAATTATTGCAAAACAGAAATCAACTTATTAATTATTTCTTATGACTTATATAATTTCGTACTTAGGATATAGTGACCAACTTGGAAACAAATTCTTCAATATTTTTATCTGAACTTCCTCCTTCATCCACAACATTTCTAGCTATTTCCTTCCATTTCTTTGCATTTTCCCTAATCAATTTCCCTTTCTCTTCTTCCATCACTAATTTTATACATTCTTCAATAACTTCTCTTCTAACTATCCCTTTTTCATCTAGTTTTGCTCTAACACCTATTTTCCAAACATCCTTCACAAATTTTGCATTTGTTGGTTGATCTATCCATTGTGGCATTGCCACCATTGGCACTCCCAAACTAATTGCTTCCAGAGTCGAATTCCACCCACAGTGTGTCAGAAAACACCTTATTGATTCATAAAATATAAAAGATATAATGAATAACACAATAAAATAATAACTCCTCAATTTGAAAAAGTGAACTCATAATGGTCAGAACCTCTATATCCCCAGCAGAATCGCCATTCTGTTTACATTCCTACTCTATTCAAATAGAGCGGAACGTCGCGATTACTTAAAAAATAATCAATTAATTCAATTTTAAAAGAATTCTAAGGAAAATAAGAATTTTAAAAGAATCGCCACCTAATTTTAGGAAAAACTAGGAAACCAATTAAAGTGATCTACGAAACCATTAGATTCTAGGTAAGGGGTTCAAGTGATTTCGAAGGGAAGGTATTAAGCATTCTTCGAAATCCACAAATGTGGTTCCCGACTGAATTCACTTTTTCAAATTTGAGGAGGAGATAAAATCAAATATAAAAATATAATAAACAAATAAATAATAATAAGAAAAAAAAAGCTAGATTTGCTTAACATCAATAATATGCACAATAATAAATCAAAAATATTGTTCGAACTTTGTTCTAATAGTCTCAATGGGAAGCAGCTCCGAGTACCTGTAAAGACACTTAGTAAAAATGTTAGTGGTAGATAAATACTTATAAAAATAAATAAATTAAATAATAAATTCAAAATAAAAAATCCGTCTTATTGACATGGGAGGCCTTGGAAATTGACGGTAATTTCTTCGTCGGCCATTTTAACAAATAAAATATATGAAATTAAACTAAATTTCCGTCTTTTACAATGTAAAGGCCTCCAAAATCGACGGAGAGATTTTTTCATTGGCCAAAGACCAAAACGATAAAAATAATAATAAAAAAAATAACCTAAACAAATGGAGGATAATCAACAAGACAGTGGTAGAACAAGACAATGGTAGATAAAGTTGGTAACTAGAAAATGCAAACTAGGACAACATTCAAATATATGCTATGTTAGTTCACAAGTAACAATACTACTTGGAACAAATAACTTCAAAAGTAGACAAAAATGTAAAATTTGTTAGAAACAAGTTTTCAAATAAACATGAACACATAATGAAAGAAATAACATTAATAACGATCCAAACAATAATGAACAAATAATGAGAAATTTAAAACAATAACTAACTTATATAATAGTCAAAACAAAGGCAAGAAATAAATGAAGTTAGACTATGATAGATATGACCAAACAAAGTTAAGATAGACATAGATAACCGAATTAACTTAAATTTTGCTAATTACCAAACATTTAAACTGAAAGACTAAATAAAGATCATAACAATATGAAATGAAAAAGTAAGAAGGTCATATATCATATTATTTAGTTTATTATTAAAGCTAACACATGTGTCACTTAATAGGAATTGAAAGGAAACAAGCCACTATTAACTGATCTAACTCTAATATTTATATACAAATAACACCAATATTTATCTACAAATAAAATAAAGTAACCAACAGTAGTCATACTCTAGATAAAAACAATAAAATTCAAGTCAATATTCATAAGCAGTAGATATAAGAAAAAACGTAAAATTAAAAGGAGGTCACAGGGTTGTTACTTTTCTGAGCAGATCTGGAGATGGCGATGTTGTTGTTGGCACAAAAGCTCCGAGCTCACCGGAACTCGAACTCGTGCTTGTGGGATTTGAGTTGTTGGCGGAGTCCTCGTCGGAGTTTCGTGAGGCTGCTGCCTGCTATTGCTTGCGGTGCAGAGACGGGAGGAGTGGAGGAGCTGCTGGTCGGCGCTGCCTTCGCTGGAGCTGCTGGCTGTTCTCGGAGATGGTTGTTGGTTGTTTTCAGACGGTGGTGGTTGGTTGTGTTTGGAGCTTGGTGGGTGGAGCGATGGTGGTTTGTGGTGAGGGAGAAGAGGTTGTTTGATGGCTGCTTCAGTTGGCTTTGGGGAAGAGGAAAATAGAGTGAGGGATTTGGGTGTTGGCGGCTAAGGAGGAAAATAAATTTAGTGTTTTGACATTTAGAAAATTCTTCCCCCCTAAAAAATAATTCAACCCCCCTTTTAAAGACTAAGAAATGAATTAAATAGAAAAACTAAAAACCTTCTATTGTACAATATCCTTATCTAAAAATTATGGGCCGAAACCACTAGTTAATAAAATAGTCGTATACGAAAATTTATCTATATTTGAACGAATTTCTAAATTGTGCAGAATATCAAAATGAATATTAACAAATATAACTAATAAAATCAATATTAAAAAAATATATACATAATAAACGTACCTAATGACATGAAAAAATGTAATTTTAAAATTAACTAAGTAAAAAAAAATCCTAAATTTTGATAAAGAATGATAGTTATCGGTAAACTTATTTAAAATTTTAAAAAAAATCTATTTTGAACTATTAAATAAATAAAACTTAAAAGTTACGAATTTTGAAAATATTAGGCCAAAATTGGGTGTCAACACCTCTAAAAAGTCCTTGGGAAGTTTGGATTCTTCAGTAGACCTAACAACCCACAAGAAGTTGTTGTTGCTATTCTTCAAACCCCATGCCAATTCTTCCATTTGATCACCTTCTAATTTGGCTAAACTTCCAAATGATACATACACCACTGAGCTAATTGGTTGATGATTTAACCAATTTAGGCATTCATTGGTCATTGGTTTGAAGATACTAAGACCATACTCTTTGTCATCATGTAGTCTCTTGTCTAAATAGATTGATGGTATTGTTGGTCCAATTGTCTTGATTGGATAAATCTTGGACATCCAATCAATAACCTACATGTCAAACAATAAAAACAGAATAAGATTTCATGTAACTATATGATTATTTTATACAATAACTTAGGTGACTAGAAAATGAAGTCTGACGCATCATGTGGTTCAGTCAGAATTTTCATTAGGGGTATTCAAATCAAAACGACACAAGATTTAGTCAAAACGACTAGTAGTTCATTTTTTATGTAACTCCAAAAAATGTCTTACCTCTTTCTCCAACTCATGGAAGCTGTTGATTAGGACCCAATCCACTTTGTCAAGATTTGAGAATTGATTTGCCAACATTTCAAGTATTCTTTCTGCTTCAGGACTAATAACAAAAGAAGGTACATCTGATGCCTCAATTGTACTTGAAAATCCAGGAATTAATATTTCTTCATCATTTTGAGTAGGTGGAAGTTTTATTACCCCTTTATGTACATGGTAATAAATATTATCCACTGCACAATTTTGTGTAAAAAATGCAGCACTAACTAATCGAAAATTCTTTGCTACTTCAACAGCCCAAGGAAGGAATGGATCATATACTATGCAGTTTACAGGGCATCCACAATTTTCTAACTTTTGAATAAGCTGAGACAGAGTATCCGAACCAACTTCTTTGAATCTTGTAACATAGGCCACAAAAGATCCTGCTTGATCGCGACCACCATCATCATAGCCATCGGATATGGCCTCGATTGACACTGAAGTTGGCAATTCTTTCATGTTTTTCAAAAAGAATTTTGTGAGTGCTATAGTGATTTTAACACGTTTGGATTGTAAACGTTTGGCGAATTGAAGCATTGGGTTGATATGACCTTGGCCTGGAAATGGCAAGATCAAGCAATGAGCTTTGTAAGTAGTCATTTCTTTTGAAACTTCACAATTGATGGCTGCAAAAATGTAATCATAGGTTAAAAATACGAACTATATCATAAGTTTCACATTTGAAAATTGAAATAAAAAGGAAAAATTGCCTCTCTAAGATAATAACAATTAGTCAAATGACTATCTGAAACATCAAATCTAGTCTAAAGTCGTACCTGACTAATAGAATCGTTTCAATAGTTTGTAGAAAATCGTTTTCGTTCTTCTTTAAGTACTTCACCAGAGGAAGAAGAGGAGAGTTTTTGAGGATGGAAAATCGTGTAGTGAAAATGCTCTTCTTATAGTTAGTTGATCGAGTTTACGTACTTGTTTGTTTTGAGGGATAAGAAATAACTAATTTCGAAATTAATTTTACAATGAGTAATTTATGTTTGGTTAGGAAAACTAATTTCGAAATTATTAATTTCGTAATAACTCGTTTCTAACCAAACGAGATTGCCAACATGTGCAGTGACATAAGTAGGTCATATCATCCAAAATGATGTCTAAAATAACGATTATTATATCATTAATTGGTCATCTATGCATGTGTAGTCTATTTATTTGGAAGATGCCTTTTGTAATCCTTTTTGTAGACATTTAATTTTAATTACTGAATTTAAATCATAAAATATTTGGATTGCATCTTAAATTCAAATGATCATATTATTCCCAATAAAAATTACGGACTGATATAACTGAATTTATGTAAAAGGGTTAAAAATGCTCTTAAACTATGTGAAATTAAATAAAAATATTCTTAGTTAATAATTTAATCTAAAATGCTATTATAGTCAATAGTTTAATCCAAAAATATTCTTATTATTACTTAATTAACGAATTACTTATCATCCTTCTACCTTCCTCTTTCTCGCTTCCCCCAACATATCAAATAATATTGAGAAAAGGGTCTGAAAAATACTTTAATTTTGACTGAAATTGTTGTTAAGATACCAAACTTTATGGAGGACCTTTTATCCCCTACACTATTTAATAGTGTATTTTAAAGGTATATATATGCTCACGTGGACAACATAAATATTGCATCATTATAAATAGTAATGTGTCCACATGGGCACATATATACCTTTAAATACACTATTAAAAAGTGCAGGGGGGTAAAAGGTCTTTTCCAAAGTTCGTTATTGTTACAGCAATTTCAGTCAAAGTTCGGATATATTTCAGACCTTTTTCCCAATAATATTAGGGCCTAATTTAGATGATCTAATTAAGAATAATTAACTCATTTTAATTAATTCATAAATGAGGAGATGAGCAGCGAGGTGGTGTTGGTATCTAGCCGGAGAGGAGAGAGAGACAAAGGGACGAGAAGAAGAGTCGGTGGTCAAAATATGTATTTGATTAGCATTACAATAAAAATAACTTTTAACCACAATAAATAGACACATTAATAAAGAATGCTAAAGTCTTTACCGGCATTAGTTAAGTGTCATTAGATCCAGTGTCGCTAAAGGCTTTAGAGACATATACAAAGATTGCTAATTGATGTTAATTAATTGCCGCTAAAAAATATTTTTGATGTAGTGTAGGTGTATATATATTTGATAAAATATAGATATGTATTTGACAAAATATACACATGTATCTAATCAGTGACGGATCCAGAATTTTAAGATCATGGTTCTCACATGTTGGGCGCCAACAATTCAGCTTCAAAACCAAAGCATCTATCACGACTTATTGCTTGTGGGTGCTCAACTGTTCAATATATTAGTTTTAAATATTTTCTGTTTAATTTCACATGTTACGCATCGAGATTAATGGATGCTTGAGCACTCAAAACCTATAACGTAGATCCACCCATATATCTAATATAAATGTTTATGTATCTTATAAAGTGTACATACATGTATTTGAGTTAATATTATACGTATTTATGAGAAAATAATTTCTGACGCTAGAAAAAAATGAAAAGAAATTTAGAAAAGAATTGGAGAAGAAATTCAGGAAAGAAACAATGGAAAGATTTCTGATGCCAAATGAATGGGAAGAATATTGAGTTTATTGGATTTTTTTTGGGATCAAAGATATGGGAAATACTCTACCGTCGTTATAAGCATAATTAATTTGCTTCAAAATTGATGTGTTTCGGTTATATTTCATATTTAAATACACATAATTAGATGTATTTGCTTAGTATGTATCGGAGATACTCTGAATGCGTCAGATACATATATCTAGGAATCGAAATATGACACAAATTATAATATCAAAAGCTCACATGAAGACAAGTAATTAATCCGAAACTAGTGAAATTTGTGTTGTTTGCTATTTAAAAAATAGGAGGAGAATACTAGGAAGATTCATGTCAAACTTTGGTACTTCAATCAGAAAAATAAATTACAAAATACAAATTTATTTCTTAATTACTTTTTTATGGCTCTTAATTACTTAGGATATACTAACCAACTTGGAGACAAATTCTTCAATATTTGTATCTGAACTTCCTCCTTCATCCACAACATTTCTAGCCAATTCTTCCATTTCTTTGCATTTTCCCTAATTAATTTTCCTTTCTCTTCTTCCATCACTAGTTTTATACATTCTTCTATAACTTCTCTTCTAACTATCCCTTTTTCATCTTGTTTGGCTCTAACACCTATTTCCCAAACATCCTTCACAAGTTTTGCATTTGTTGGTTGATCTGTCCATTGTGGTATTGCCACCATTGGCACTCCCAAACTAATTGCTTCCAGAATCGAATTCCACCCACAGTGCGTCAGAAAACATCCTATTGATTGATGTTCCAACACTTTTAATTGTGGACACCATGGCACCACTAGTCCTTTTTCACTTGTTAATTCCTCTAAAAAGTCCTTGGGAAGTTTAGGTTCCTCAGTAGACCTAACAACCCACAAGAAGTTGTTGTTGCTATTCTTCAAACCCCATGCCAATTCTTCCATTTGCTCAGCTTCTACTATGGCAAAACTTCCAAATGATACATACAACACTGAGCTAATTGGTTGATGATTTAACCAATTTAGGCATTCATTTGTCTATTTGGTTTGAAGTATACTAAGACCATACTCTTTGTCATCATGTAGTCTCTTGTCTAAGTACATTGTATGGTATTGTTGGTCCAATTGTCTTTATTGGATAAAGTTTGGACATCCAATCAATTATCTACATGACAAACAATACAAGTCAAAATAGATGTATCTTGAATTATTTTTTCTAATACTCCTTTCTAACATGTATTAAAAGTTTCTTTTAGAACATTTATTTTAAAAAGAAATAGTCGTCACACACCCCCTTTAAGAAAGACATTCAATATATAGTCATAATCATAAAATCTTGCTACTATGAAAACTATAACAACCTTAATGAACATACGATTTTGTCAGTTCATTTTTTATGTAACTTCGATTAAACATCTATATAAAAGGTTAAAAAGACGGAAGAAGCACCAAAACGACCAAAATATGTTACCTCTTTCTCCAACTCATAGAAGCTGTTAATTAGGACCCAATCCACTTTGTCAAGATTTGAAAATTGATTTACCATCACTTCAAGTATTGTTGGTCCTTCAGTTTTCATATGTGCAAAAGTAGGTACATCTGATGCCTTAATTGGACATGAAAATCCAGGAATTAATATTTCTTCATCATATTTAGTAGGTGGAAGTTTTATTACCCCTTTATGTACGTGGTAATAAATATTATCCACTGCACAATTTTGTGTGAAAAATGCAGCACTTACTAATCCAAATTTTTTTGCCACTTCAACAGCCCAAGGGAGGAATGGATCATATACTATGCAATTTACAGGGCATCCACTATTTACCAATTTTTGTATAAGCTGAGACAGAGTATCTGAGCCAACTTCTTTGAATCGCGTTAGGTAGGCTTCGTAAGTTTTTGCTTGGTCGATATTAGATATGCATATATTATTTAGTGGGAAAAAGCATAAATTAGCCTCTGAACTTGTTTCGAAAAGTCAATTACACATTTTAACTATTCAGACGATCTATTACACACATGAACTTGTTTAAAGTGGTATTAATGCCCCCTTTGAAGATGACATGACAGAGAAAGTGTCTTCACCTTCCTTCAGGTGCATGAGAAGAAGAAAAAAAAATGTTAAAATGACAAATTTAAACACGTAGCACAATCTTATTGGTCATAATATAATTAAGTATTATAATTTCTAATATATTAATTATGTCAATAATTATTATTTTTTGTCTTTTTATTTGTGGCCCCCTAATTTTTTTAAAAATGTTTTTATATTTTTCTTTCTTTTGAATCTTCTTCTTCAACAATTCTTTACTTTGTCACCATTAATTGTTATTCCTCACTTTATACCCATGGACGCATATTCAAACTCTTACAGAAGAACGCTAAAAAGAAATAGAAAAGAGTGGAAAGAAGATGACTTTCATCAAAAGGTCAATAATTTTTCAATTTAAACTTTATAATTTTCCTGCTCAAGCTCATCGGAGGATATACCAAAGAAGATCACTGGAAAAAAAATATTAGTAAGCTAATGACTTCTATTGAAAATCTTATGATTATTTATGCATAAAATTCATGATTATATTGCCTAAGTTTTTCAAAATTCATTGAGGAAAATTATTGCTATATCTTTGTCTTCTCTATTTTCGTCGGAGCACCACCTACAACCATAACAATGTCGTTTTTGTCTCTAGCCGCCATCAAAAGCATATTTGATTATTCACAACAAATAATACAAATGAAATGCTTAATTTGCATCCATAATTATTGTTGACACCTAATTTTGACCCGCCACGATAGGAATTAACTTTTGAACTTCTTAATTCTTAAACAATTTTGAAATAATTGGTTTTATGAAAAACTCAAAATACTTCCCAGATTTTTAAAACGATTTTACTTATTCATGTAATATTTTAAATAGTTAATGTGTTTTATATAGGTACATATATTCTATTAGTATATTTCATAAATAGTTGAAAATCGTCATAAAAAGATTTTACACTTTTTTAAGTTAAATATTTTATT